GTGGAGTATCGTCTAGACCAAGTCGTCTTTGGTTTCAACTACGTGTCTCGTGTCCAACATCTTTCTATTCCGAAGGTCAGGCGGATCCTCCGCGTGTGTCATGCATAGTAATCGTATATTCAAGCGACGGAAACTGAAGGCCCTTACAATTTCTCTTAATACTTTGCCTCTTCTTTTGCAAGAGGATCGATGCTCCAGGTGATGTGTCAAAATTGATCGACGCTCACGTCGATTTTGTTATCCGCTAGAGTGCTGGTACATCGAGTTAAGCCAAGTGCTGTTCGCCTGAGTCGATCCACAATGGGTCCCAGGTCGTTGTTTAGATATTCTCTGAATTCTACGCATTTCTGCTTGGTGTTGATGTCGCTGGAGCTTCCCCAAATGATGAGACCATCTGCACCGAGGTTCATGATCTTTTTGAGAGTTGCCTCGAGATCATCCTAAGGAGGAAAGTTCATTATCGGTAGATTGATCGAGGATTTTTATGGATTTTTGGATTTCTATGAAAACGAGTAAAGAAATATTTCCTACGCGAAATTTCCAGCTCCCAATCTACCTGATGTTCAAACTTCAAAACCACTCACCTTGCTCAAATTCGTGTCCCTCTGGTCCTGGTATTTGTACCAGTAATATGGTAGAACCTGCTTTCTGGTCATCATTTGCTTGGCTATTCTCAAAGCTTCCTTGACACGGCCACCGACGAGACCCACTCGCTGATTGCTCGTCAGGCTCAATCTCAAATAAACCGAGGGCAGGAGGACGTCTTGCAGCTCGAACAGCCATGACATTCTGAATGGGGAAGCAGACGAGTCTGTGTTGGGCTTATCGAGAGAGGCCGATTAGATAAGACGGATGTAACTCCCTCCGGGTTAGGTGGAAATTTTCACCGGTACACGACTCTTGACACTGACCCACTTAAGGCTCGAGCATTGTAACGTTCACGACCGATTCGTAATCTCGTTACCTTAAATATCTAAGAAACTTCTCGCTTCTAACTAGAACACACGATCGGCTCGTGAAACGTGCCAATACGTTAAGTGGCGAAAGAGAGATATCCGTACACAGTGGAACTGACGCGATTAGCTGAACTAGGATTAGTTGCATAGCAGATGCTCACGACAGAGATAGAGCAGATTTGGTTATCAATAGACTGCGGATTTTTATGCATTTTGAAATTTTGCCTAGGTATCCGAGGAAATTGAGAAACTGAAGAAACTAATTATTGAAAAACTTATTACAAGTTACTGATGTTATTGAAAAATCAATTATTAATGAAATAGAACCTAAATAGAAATTTGTTTTATCTGGGTTATATTATTTTATTATTTAATTTGTTTCATCTGGCTCTCATTTCCCAACGAAATGGGATATAACTCTCAATGCAAAATTGAAACGAGAAATCATACATATTAATAAGATCTTGTTTATGTTCAAACAAAAGATGTTACTGTTACTACCAACAGTGTTACTTTATGTAGTAAATAATTTATTCATATTCTCAAAAATTTTCATAAAAATTCACAGTCTATTAACTACATACTTATCGTTTTCCTGCTGAGTGGCAATGTCGCACTGTGGACCAGGTTGACTCGGCGTCAGATTGTAGCAATAAGGGTAAGCATAGTAACCCCATTTGGCGTACGGTCTGATCTGTTTGGCAGCCTTCAACGTCTCCTCCATAAAAAGCCTGCCGTATTTCTCGAATTGCCGCCTCGCTTCCTGCTCGACGCTTTGATTGTCCCAGAACGGATGCTCGCGTCGAACTATCTCTATCGAGAGTTTCTTATAAGGCTGGAGGGAAGCCCAATTCTGCCGGAAGATCGGTCTCCAACTTTCGAAATCGATCACCCCGACACCGTGAAACGATTTGTCCGGTATCTGATGGATCAAGTGCTCCCGAAACACTTCCAGATGCTTGGTGAGATTACCCTCTTGCGGGACACCGCCGTTTCTCATCACTACGTTCCCTGAACAACGTTCAAACGTTCTTTCCTTTCTCCAATCCATCGATGATTACACACGTGACAGTGTTGGGCAAAAATTGAATTAACAATCGCGGTTAAAGGTGATAAATCTCTCGAGAGTTTACGCTGAATTTTAGCAAACACGTTCTTCGATTTTATCATTTTACTGACTAAATGTTTAAAAATTTTTGAAATGCATTTCCGCTGTTTCTCCTTCTCTCTCTCTGTCTTTCTTCGTCGCAATTTCAAAATTTAATAAAATAACAAATACGACGAAAACAATTTCAAACGGAAGTTTGACTTGACTGAGATTTTAGTCGATTTCATTTGAAAGCCAATACTTGATAATTGCAGATCAATTTTTTCGACGTTTGATGATTAATTCCATTAATCCCGCGAAAACGAATAGGAGACGAATTTTTTTCCCGCAAGAGTTAACTTAATAAATTAAAATAAAAATCAGCTACAACGTGGAAGTTTAAACATAACAGGTTAAATACAACAGGAGGCTCTTCACATGAAATTTCAGGATAGGCATGCAAAAAAGTGTAGATTCAAAGAGTCCGCTCATAGAAATTTACCTAATTCATCGATTAAATCCAATTAATTCTTTTCATCATAAGCATTCGACAAGTTAAAAATTTTAATTGATTAATATGCCCAACTCTGTCACACGGTTGATAAAGGAACAAAGTAATTGTTTTACCGTTCGAATCTTTCAGCAACGCCGGGAACGTGCCAGGATCGTAAAGGATCGCGATCTCTTCGCCACGGAAGTTATCCATCGTGTTCTGTAGAATGCCGTATTTCTCTGACACTTCCTCAAAATGGAGCCCGTACTTATGGCACATAAACGTGGGCACGTTCCAGTAGATGTTGAACTCGTCGGTTTCGTTGTTC